GCATTTCTTTGTTTTAAAATGTGTAAAGTATTTGCATTTGAAATCAGTACTAGACAGAATTTTACTAATGGTTAAATAGTTACCATTGGATTTTAAGTAACCAAATAAAAAGTAACAGAAAGCAGATTTTTTTTAACATTTATCCCAGGTATTAAGCCTTATTGGACAGAAAATTTAACATACAAAATAGAATAACTAAAATTTAGCTTTAAAATGTTTTATACTCAGCATTATATGATGAAATGGAAAATAGATTTCACACATTATTATAAATATCAAAGAAAATAATTGATCAATCATGAACAAAATTTAACATAAAAAAATACTTTTAATCTTCCCTTTAGAAATACATAAATTTTCATTTCAAAATTTTTACTAATTTAATTTATGTAATAATATAAAAAATTTCCAATTTAAATGATTGTTATATAGATATTTTTATCACAATAGAAAAATTGCATCTTTTGGAATTTAGCAAATAGTTTTGTAATAAATGAATAGAATTATTATAGGTAGCATCAGCACAACTGTGTTTTTTTATCTTAAAAATTAACTAGTTAAATTTGTCAAAAATATTGTTGGGGAAAGCTTACAGAGTTAAATGTCTGCAATGCTGTTACTCATACATTTATGAATATGCTTATACTCTTTTACATCCGTAATACACTTTTTCCCACCTTGATGTTCTGTACAAATTTTATAGTATTTATTAGATTCTCTTTCCAGTAATTCTGAAAAAGAAAAGTATTTTTAAAAATAATTGTGCCAAACATTGCTCTGTTATCCTAATTAAAGCTAAATCCACAATTTCGTTTTATCTTCTAATAACTTGTAAGGTATGATTTCTTTACAGAAATTATATTATGCTTTCAAAGAAAACGTTGCAACTATTTATATGAATATTATGCATTGAAATATTTTTCAATGATATTTATATATTTTCTTTACTTTATCAAAACTTTTAGTTAATTACTAAATTCTGTATATTTAAAAGAATTTAATAATAAAAAATGATTTTTTTAATGTACTGTGTATTTTTCATCTATAACTATAAATTTGAAATAAAGTGCAAATTCTCTTAATTTTGCACATTTGTGTACATTGTGGCCAGCCCATTTTTAATTCCTCATTATGTATTAACTAAAGGCAATAGAGAGCTGAAAATATATAAATTAAGACTCATTTTTAAAAACTGTGTAATATATTAACAAGTTCTTAAGTTGAGGCCATGAAAGAAAGGTTAGGTTATTTAATTACGGCAAAGCCTTGAGGGCTATCTGCCTAAGGGAGGGATGCCTTTGTGGAGGACTTTCTAAGGGAAACTGGCTCGTATACATGTTACACTTGGGTAAAACCACGAAAACACCCATGCAGCCAGCCTGTTCGCGGGATTCGAACTTCGGACCAAACTACCAGTATTCAGCGACTTTACCACTCAGCCGCTGGTGGGCCGCCATAAAAGAAATAGAAAACAGAATTCTATTGAATCTGATGAGAATTTTAGAAAACTGTTTCTTACTGAAATAGTCTGCAATTTCTACTGACAGATAACATGGCATTAACAGTATTAAAAGATCACTGTTTTCATTTTATTAGATATCTGTTCAATAAAATGAAAACATTATGTAAATGAATAATGAAAATGTTTCATTGTTCAATGTTTTGTTTTCATTTCAATAAAATGAAAACATTGAACCATTATAAATAACTGAATTTTAAATTAACACAATTTTATTGGTGGTATCTTTGAGTGAAAAGGGATAGTTTCCTTAAGTATTCTTTTAAGAATTCAAATGATGAGTTATATATATGCAGTTGGATTGATGGGGTAGTTGTGTATGTAGGTGCTGAATATATTGATGCTTCTGCAATAAAATAATCTAGACTTTAACATCTTTTATTTTTTCTTAAAAATTTAACTTTTGTGTGTTGTTCATCTTTTCACACGGTAATTTATTTCAGTTCCCTTACAATATCAAATAAAAAGGAAACATATTTGGTTATGATTCCTGGGGGGAAGTTTAAAAGAAATTGATGTTTATATTTCATCTAAATCTGATATTATTAAAAAGTACAGAATTTTATGAAGATGATAATTTCAGGTTTACAAATTACCTATGTTTTACATAAGAAATCTGTCAAAGAGATATGGCAAAAGTCAAGATCATTTCACGCGCAATGTGTAAATTTAACAAACTTCTTTCTTCTTAGAAAATTATATTCTATTAGATATAATGAATTTTTTTGAAAATGTTAAGGCAGTTTTAAAATTAAAATAATAGCAATTTTGTTATGTTTGCTAAATTCTTACAACTCCTTAATAACCACAACAGAGAGTAAATTAGAAACTGAATTTTCAGTAGTTAATAAATTAATAAACAAGTCCTATTGATGTGCTGAAATTAAGCTAGTTCAAAAGTATGATTCAACTGCTTTAAAAAGTGAAAGCAAAGATAATGTTCCACAATACTGTACTCACTGTAATAAAAATAACCATGTAAGTAAGTGTTTTCATTCAAAACACAATGCTAAGACTTTCCTGAAAACTGATGCAAAGAGTGAAATGAGAAAATATCTACAAAATCAAAAAGATAATGCATAGCAAACATGCAAAATCTAGAAAACATAAAATCAAATCAAGTTAAAGACAAAAAATCTATTAAGAAAGAGGTCGAAACTGAAAATTTGCAAGTTCAGCTTAATCAAGTTCTAAAATTAAAACAGGAAAATCGATGTCAGAACTCAAAATCGGAAGAAAAAATTTTTAAATTATATATATATATATATATATTACGTTGTAATTTTTGCAGAAGATGAAAATGCTCAACTTATCAATCATGGTTGAAGTGGTAACAGATGTGATGCACATTGCAAACAATATAATAGATGTAAACTCTTAGAAGAACCATAAAAGTCCTTGGATAAGCACAATATATCTTTATTACTTGATGAATTCACTGTTCAAACATCATGTTGAGTAGCACATCATAATGGGGGCAATCTGCTTTCCAAAGCGAGAGATGTCTATTCAAGCAGAAGCATGTGAGAAAAAGTGATACATGCTAAATGCGATCATATTTAAAAGCCGAAAAATCTTTGTTTCAATCCTGAGCACCAACTGGACTAAGATTTTGCTCTGTAGAGAAATTGCAGGAGAGCAGTGATATAACATGCTATAGAGTAGTGGCCCCACATTTGAATTTGAGGAAACAATGAAAAATTTTAAGAAATTTTGATTTCAAGAAAAATTGCTTTGTCAGTTTTTTGCCATAATAATAATAAAAAAAAATCCCTCTCATTCTTGATATTTAAAGCATTTTATTGACATGCCTGATATTATTTGAGATAAACGTTTCTGAAAATGATCTCAATGATTTGAAATACTGCTTACTGGTAAAAGATCTACTTGTTCGCAATCTTTATTACTTTATAAAAGCTTCTGAGATAAAATTAATCCTGTCTGTAAGTCAATTGCTATATAAGAATTCCACTGACTTTCCAAAATTGATGGAGTGTGTGAAGAACTCTACAGCATTTAATTAAAATAATTATGTACAATGCATTTCACATTTTAAAGAGGAATTCAAAAGCAGATTTTCCAATTTTCGTGAAACTGAAATTTTTATCAAAATGATATCCTCGCCATTTTCAGTAGACGTTGGAAGTGTTCAACCTGAACTTCAATTAGAATTTACACAGTGTGACTCTGCAGTAAAATGCAAGTTTCTTGAAAATTCTACATTAATTGATTTTTATTTGAAGTACGTGACTGAAGACAAGTATCCAGGAGTTCATAAACATGCACCCTTCATGTCTTCTATCTTTGGCAGTACCTATATATGTGAATAGCTTTTTACGGATTGCAACAACAAGATTAAACCGGATACTGAAGCTTTAATCAAGAATAAGCAATGTCAAATTTTGCCTCCCGTTTTTATACAGTCAAAAGTCGTTAATCCGGACTCGTCGGGACTTCGGCGATTCCGGATTATAGATCATCAGTTTAAATCTCGTAAGATGGCATGCAGAAATTACAAAATTAAAAATATGAAACCGTAATTTATGAAATAAAGAACAATTATGATCTAAAGGGTATCAAAATTTACAAAAAAAAAAAAAAAAAAAAAAAAAAGCTTAATATTTATTTGTTTACTTTATTAAAACATTTCTTTCAATGTAAGTTGTTTAAGTTGCTTCGTTTTATGTGATAATACTTTCTCTTTAATTCTATAAACAGACATAATTTCTTGTTCAGTTACAAAGTTCCGCTGTTCAAGTCCCGTTAATTGCTGTGCCGAGAATACCGACTAACTTGTCAATTGAAATTTTTTCGTTTTCACTAACCTCTCTGTCACATTCTTCATGTCTTTATCCATTTTTTGCAGCAATTCCACTTTTTGTTTGTTGAACATCGAAACATACTTTCGTTTTGTAGATCCTTTGGAAGTTCCAGCATCGGAAATTCTATTTGACATAATCGAAAGTTCAAGTTTACTTTTATAAAATTGCTCTTACAGTCTGCAAAAAATAATAAGTGGGATCCAATTCGAAGATAAAGGAATAACGCAATCATTAACATTAACTGAAATAGATAATTAGATAATTTTAGCTTACACCGTCCGTTATACAGGCTAAAATGTATTCTGCACTTGCGCACACGCATATGCGCAGTAGTCAAGATCTTACGCGCACACGTAAAACGCTTGTGCGCATGTCCCAACGCGGCGCATGCGCAGAAAGTTTTTAGCTTTGAGGTCCGGATTATAGATCATTCCGGATTATGGGTGTCCGAATTAACGACTTTTGACTGTATAAATTTTCTGACACTATTTTTTTGACAGACATATGGCCTGTGGATCTTTGTAAATTTATTGATGTGGCTCTTGCACGTGAAAGGTTGAAAACCCCTACTATAGAGTGACAAATGGTGCAAAGCCTATTGTTGAAGTGGGGGATGTATTTAATTAAAATTTATAAATTTAAAGGTTTCCAATTGCCAATTGGTTCCAATCAGATTTAATAATTTTGTTTCATATTTTACATGTAAATATATACATACATACAGAGAGAGAACACATCATAGTATTAACAAATTTCACCAAAATAATTTTAAAAACCATTCTGAATATATACAGACAATCTCTAATGTGTGTAAACAATAGTTTTGAAAATGTAAAAAAGCACAGGTATTGAACATCACCTCTTGGTATCCTTAGAATGATCTGTTCAATAGAGGACTAAAATTTTCTCGAAGAGTGACTCTTAAGTAAGTTTCACTACACATGTTCTTATTCCTGCTTCCATTTTTTAAATGATTTTATATTGTTATGCTGTCTGTATAGCTTTATCTATCTATTTTAGTTAATTACACACACATTTTCTAGAGGTAAAAAGAGCATAAAAGTTAGAGAAGAAATAATTTGTGAAGATTTGTTAGTTAAACTATATGTCACTTTGGAACAAACTTTTGCCTAATACATTGCTAATTTATAGCAGCAAGTGCAATATAAATTTTAGAAAATTTCTAATTTTAATTTCATATTAGTGCACGCTTTATAAAAAAAGAAGTACTGCATGTACTGAAATTCTGTATTTATTTTTGAAAGTATGCAATAAAAGTTTTTCTTCACTTCCTAGAATAGTGTAAAAGATATCACAACATTTTAAGTTAAATACATCTGACTGTAGGGCTCTTCAGAAAATCATTTCAATATTCAGTTCATATTTAATATAACTGTCCTTTTTGAAGATACAACTGTTTTTCTACAGAATTCGTATGCCATGTACAATGATATTTCACTTGCTTTCTAATGAAAATGGCGGAATTCTGCACTCAAAATTTACTCCATTATCTCTTTCCATGGTGAATGTTCCCCTAAAACAGAGAAAAAAATTACCATCTTGTATTTACATTCAAAACAGAATAACTAATTATATACTTTCTGAAATACTGTATGATAAGTGCTTCTCTTAGCACATTAACTGCCATGGGGGTCACTGGTGACCGGCACTCGACTTGGCTACAGTGCTGTGGGGGTGACCAGCAACGTAGCAAATAATAAAAGTACATAATTATAGTAAATATGGATATTGATAATTTTTTCAATAATACCATTGTTATTATATTGGTTTGAAGAAATTAATGCAATATAGAACATAGAAAAATAATTTTATTAGTACATGAAAAATATGCATTTTATCAGTGCATATTGTGATGAGTCAGATTGAAACATTCAAGGCAAAGAAAAGGTGAATCAACGCAATCGGAACAATATGTCACCACTTTTTTAGTCAAATTCTTTGCTCTAGTTCTTCCTAGCTGCTTTGAATTTCTGTTATAGCACACCTTACATTTCGTGCATTTCCTGGCATTTTTTAAAATTCATGATGAGGTCTGCTCTGTAAGCAGTTTTTTGAGAAATACAATCATTATCAGAGCATTTCATTAGATACATTGCTAATTACACCCTAAAACAGAAATTGCAATATTTTTCCAGGTTACTTTTGTCGCTGTCTGATAGCAGTCGCAATATTTTTGAAGGTCTTTGTAAAACTGCACCATCAGATGATGTACTTCATGAATAAATTTTCATTCGAAGCCATATTTTTAAGGGCTAATAAAAAAATTGAATGAAAGACATAAAATGCAAAAACGTATGTAGAGTGAAAAAATATAACAAATGCACTTACTTGCTTGTAGAACACACCAAATTAAAACTGAAGAACGAGAGTAATCACTTAGCAATCGAAGTACAATTGCTTGAAAAAAGGCTGATCGTAACAATTGCATACCGAGCCGCGGGGGTCACCGATGACCCCCACCACAAAAACTACTTGAAGCATAATTTATATAATATTTCAGCATAATATGCATTGCATAATGAAAAGTTCATGTTGTCGCCGTGGGCAAACCATCAAAAATGGGTCTGGCAGTCAACGTGTTAAAAGCAAGGGTAGGAAACTACAAAAGTGCCAGTTTTGTCTGAGAATTCAAATCCTGTATAGTTGAGAGGGTGGGTGCAATAATCAGGTTAGCCTAATAATGTAAGAAAAAAACATAACTGATTATTGCATTTGATCCTTCAATTATACTAATTTTTTTACAGATTAATAATTTTATTAAATTCCTCAAAACAATAAACACTTCTGAGTTTAGCAATAATAACTAAATAAATAATAAGAATTAAAATTATTTCTATGTTTTAGATAAGCATGACTCAGATTTCAAATTTGACCAAATTAAAATATTAAAAATATTTCCTATTAGAAAATTATTCTTTAGTAAGTTTCAAATGTATAATCTTCCTTCCAATAATCTGTGACATAAGTAAAATACCTAAACATTTTTTATACAAGTGTTTTTATTTAAAATTTGCTATATTGAAATAAGTAAAGAGGCTTTTAATCTTAACTTTATTCTTTCAGTCATACTTAAGATGGCCAAATCAGTATTATCTTTCACAGCTGAATATACATCCTATATTCTTTTATCAAATTATGTTCCTTTTCAGTTTAAGCAAATGCTTCTAAAGTTATTTCCACATTGAATAAATGTTTTTGAACAATGTTACCCTTTGGATGCAATAGTTTCTTAAATAAGTATTGAAACTAAAATCATAAATCAGCCCGAGAAGATATTTGATAACTTTTATTCAATTTGAACTCGAGCCAGAAGCATTACTTTATTCACTTATAATTTATTTTTTACATCCTCCTGCCTTGAATAAATAAAAGAAGTTAATTCTCTAAATAACATACACTTTTTTAATTTTTTAATCATTTCAATATTCAGTTCTTTTTTAATTTTTTAATTAATTTTTGGGATTCAGTGTATGAGCTTTCGTCCTTTAAAGTAAAGCTTTCTTCAAAACATTCATGAAATAAAATGGCATAATTACTTTTATTTTATATAGTATGAGTCATATGCAAGTCCACAAAAGACCTTACCTGGCCTTGGAAAATGTCAGTGACAAATTTGTTTTTAATAATGTAAATATTTAAATATTTTGCCATTTTTCAAATTAAAAAAAATCAATTTTTTTGAAATTCATAAAATCTAACATTTAGGAGAATTTGACACTTATTATAAAATATAATAAAATAAGGTAGGAAAAAAACGCTTTCATAAAATCCTTCGTTTAAAATTCATAAAACAATAAATTAACTAAGAAATGTATCTTTCAGTTTCATGGAAACAGGAAATTACTAATTCTTTTTACAAAATTCATCTACAATTTAATATCTTATATAAAGAATGGGGGTGCCCTTGATAAATTTACAAAGACAATGGCTTATACATTTCACATGCAATTCAATTACTAGAATCAGTTATTTAAGCGCCCATGCTTTTATTACTTGTAATATGAAACTGTAAAGAGTATCAGTAATAACTAGTTCCCGTCACACTAGTCTAATAGGTGAAAAGATAGAAAGCAGCCTGCAAGTAAAACCACAAGACACATACAATGCCCTACCAGACACCCAATATAGCATTTAATTATGGCCAAAATTGAGACACAGATAGTTTGTTCATTCACCAACCATTACAGTGTGTGCCTATTGATTAGCCATTGATGCCACTGAAACCTATTTTTTGAAGACAGTATTTTTTATGTTGCCAGGAACATAGAACTAGAGACCTCAGCAATGGAGTCAAGTGCTCTCTATGGATGAGAGTCAATGTAGTCTCACTAGTAATTCTGGATGACTCAATATCTAGAGAGACAAAGCAACATAAAATCTCTCCTTTAATACCATCAAAAGACATTATTCAGAGGTGGCAGAGTTAGTGTTTGAGAAGGCATTACGTTTGGTGTCCATTAAAAGCTTCACATCTTCTTATGGAAGTTCAGTCAGTGATTACTGCTATTGTACTTAGGTTTGAGGTTCTCCTTCTTCACGTTCATCTTTTTCAGATGGTGTGGGCAATGAGTTCTTTTCATGGATGATAATGCTATACCTCATTATATAATAGCTATTGCTGAGCTACCAGAAAATGAGGTATTTAGCCACACAGATTTGTGCACTATTCCTTGACAGAAATGCAAGAGAATATATATGAGTCTTAGGCATTCTCAAGAGATTTTCCTCTTGAACTGGCCATCATGGTACCCAAACTTAAATCCAATTGAATACATGTAGAATTTCTTGGGAAGTGTCTGGCAGCATATTGCCATCTGCCCATAATGATTCTGCAGGTGCTATTTGCACTACAAGAAATATGGGTCATGAAGCCTCAACAGTTTGTCTATGAACTCATACTTCAGTATGAAAAAATTGTGCACATCTTTCACTATAGCAAGAGCTGTTATATCAGCTAAGGAGAACTGTATTTTTCTTATCGGCTGCCTGTCATATGCTATTTTGAGAATTTTCATCTCTCTGTCCAGTGTTGTTTGCCTTTCGCTTAGATCTTGGTTATTTATGACTCTGTACTGATCTAAAACACTGATACATGACATTAGATACAAAACCTGTTTCCTCCTTAATTTTTGCATACCAGTATAACATGTGTTAGCTCTGAACCTGTGTTTCTTCAATGTATGAATTTATTAATTTCAAATTTTAGTATTTACATATTAACGCAACCACAAACATAACCATTCAAGCAACCATGTTCATAACAATTCTTCAGTCAAAGCAATGCTGTATTTTTGTATGTTTTCTTTTTCATTGCATTCTAAGTTCCAACAATTTTTATAAACAAATCATGATATTTCTTGCCTGTTATTTAAAATATGAGCTTGTTGAATTTGCCAGCAACTGTGGTAAAATTTCTGCAGGAATACAGAATTTTGTTGAAATTTTTCTAAAGGGAAATGTTTAGTCCACAATTCTCTTAATATTTCTTTTTAAGCAAAGAGATCGCTGTGTACTTCAAAAGAAGAATATTGAAAAAAAAAAAAACAAAAAAAAAAAAAAAAACAGAAAGATTGGAAAAAGAATGTATTTATATTTTAATGCATCATGCAATCTTTATTTAATAATTAAAATTTGTATTTTAAATTGCCTAAAGTATGTTTTCTTTTGTTATGTTAATAATGTTTACTGACGTACAATAAATATAGATAGTTTGGGAATCTTTTTTTTTAAAAAAAAGAGGCACGAAAACCACCAGCTTGCACCCGATAAGTAGTTTTTACCTTTTCATCTATAAAAAATTGCCACACTACACGAAGGTGGTTGCGTTAATTTTCCAAATAATCACTTCTTTACCACAGTCTTCTCATTACTATTAAAACTAAGCTTTTATATTGCCAAACTAAAATACTTGGTCTTACATTTAAAACTTTTGTGCTGCAACATCAAAAAATAAATATAATAAAAATAATTGAAACACAGGCTTGTAAATTTCAATTTCAACATCAGAAGAAGGCCCACCAGCGACCGAGCGGTAAATGCGCTGAACACTGGTAGTTCGATCCGGGGCTCGAGTCCCGGCGAACAGGCTGGCTGCATGGGTGTTTTTGTTGTTTTTCCCATGTGTAACATGGATACGAGCCAGTTTCCCTTAAAAAGACCTCCATGGGGCCTCCACCCTCCCTTTCCGTGTAGTGCCTAAGGGCGGAGCACGTAATAAGTAAAAAAAAACAACATCAGAAGAACAATAAATAAATAAATGCATTTTTTCATAATGTTTACAATGCAGTGTTGCTATTGAACTTTGAACATCAGTAATAAGATAAACATACTCATAAAAAAGTCTTACATTAACAGGTATAATAGAAATTACGCCCCGGTTATTCACAACATAGGAATTCCATTCATTTTACTATATATTTGGATTGGCGGCCATCCGAAGAACACACAATAAAGATTAATTTCAGTCACCAAAGGATAGATTATGTAAAAGCAATGATAAAGGAAGAAAAAAAGACACCACTTAAGGTTTGTGCTGATGAAGCAAATAGGTCATCCACAGTAGCTCAGAAAGAAATTTCAGTAAGTACAGCATTAATATGCTTGTAAATGAGCAGAAATCAACTTTGAATATTTAATAATTCATATGCTAATAAATTTCTCACGCTGTCAAAGATAATCTACACATATCAAAATTGCATGTTGTTGATATAAAGAGTGAAATCAGGTTTTAACCACATACATGTAAATAGTATTCACTATGTATAATGAATTGTCAAGTTTCACAAATTTTACAGTGAATATTTATAATACTTACCACATGTGCCCACAGGGAGACTGCAAGCTCACATGACTACTATACTGAAAAGCAGGCTGAGCTTTGGACAGTATAGGTTCCTAAATAAATAAATAATAATAAAAAAAGGTACTGGGTACTGCAAAAGCAGTTTGATAACAAAAACATAATAACAACATATCGATATTTTTATCAGAATATGGATACATTACAGCAGTCCATTACTAGCAGTCCTAAATATTTAGAGTTGATTTCAAATGATAAGTTTGGAGAGGTAATAAGGTATAACAACATTTTATCAAATAAATAGACAACATGACACATAACAACAAAAATATCTGACACTGAACACTGACATTTATTTTCAAAACTATTCAACAAGAATTTACTTTTTTATTTTTATTTCTATATTTCATTAGACAAACACAGGTTGGCAGTATTAAATTAGAACTACACTATCTACACTACTAAGTATTTGGATATGTGTGATACAAAATAAAAGCAAATTTTATTCATATTCAATAGTTGGTAAAGTCTTCACGAGTGGCAATTACATTCTCAACCCTCCAGGGCATGCTTTTCACAAATCCTTGTATGATGGCTATTTGTATTCTCTTCCACTCGGGTTGGAGAAGACACACAAGTTCCTTCTCTGATGCTGGACAGTTGTTCCACCCTTTAATTCAGCAATCCAACTCATCCCAGAGGTTCTGAACAGGCCAATCCATTCAATTAACCTCATTGTTACCATCCAATCCATGGTGGATGACATGACAGCTAGCATTCTCATCCTGCGAATAACATGGGTCTAACCCCTACAACTGCCACAGGAAGCACACTGTCATCCAAAACAGTGCAGTTGGTATTGGCATTAAGCTTACCATGAATCTGGACCAAACATCCCAGTCCATACCAGGAGAAACATCCTCAGACCATAATTTAACCTTTACTGTGGGCATAATGCATTCCGGAAGCTCTTTCTAGGCACATACCAGATTAAGTAAAAAAAAAAAAATAAAATAGCACAATGTCCCATAATTTGCTCATATGAATTATACAATTTTACATAAGAAAGGTATGTGATTTAAACAAGTAAAGGTTATGCATTTCTTAAAAAATTTAATTTTCTAGGCAGAGAAAATTTCAGGGCTACTTATAACAACTCAAGATAGCAGTAAAGTATTTATAGGCTGGATTATTTAAATATTGCAAAGCCCATGAAAGCTATCTGCCTAAGGGAGTGGATGCCTTCAGAGAAAACTTTTTAACAGAATATGGCTCATATTTAAGTTACACAAAGGGAAAACCACAAAAACCAAACATGCATCCAGCATGTTCACCTAGATTTGAAATCAAATTCAACTATCAGTATTCAGCGCTCTTAACCATTCCACTAGTGGAGCAATAAGGTGTCCAAGTAACATTTTAACATTCACAGAAGAAAATTTTAGAACACTAAATGCATGAAATAGTAAACAATCATAATTTTTTAAAATTTCACATTAAAAACTCAAAATTATTACACTATGAAAGTATTTAATGACAGGGCTGCATGGAATTTTTAAAATTATACATCATTTCTAACATTGATGTAACAACAGCACACGGTTTTTAGAAATTCATTCATGATTATAAGGTCTAAAAAATACTACAATTTACAAATTAGTGATAATGAATTGGTGAATGGGAATACATATATATACATGTTCATGAAAGCTATCAGTATTACAATGCAAGATTTGGTAAAATTGGCGATAAAAAGAAAGATATTAAAAACAAGTTACATGAAAAACATTAGAGTCAGAACATTTTTTATTACAGATATTAGAGACTATCTTTTATAACTAGTTACATTTATTCTCAAGGTATGGAAAAAGTATAAAAATCATGTTTTCTCTACTTTTATTTTGTATACATTTAAAATTCAGATATTAAAGACACTCCTCTAAAAAATAAAGGTAGGTTTCTGCCACAATCTTTTATTGAACATTTTCAAGGCACAAAGCTAAGAAATGAAAATAATCCAAGCATTAGTAGGTAATGGAGATAGTGTAGTGGAATTCCAATAATCTACAAACACTTAATCTAGGAATGCCCATAATGCTCATGTTTTTGGATGTACACAAGAACTTTGCAACTTCTTCATTTTAGATAAATATTTGCTTTTAGATGTTAAGTCCAGTCTTTCAAAGTTATTAGCTCAAAGGGGGCTATTAATCTATAAAACGGCATTTTGCATTCAATCACTATAACTGCCTGCATCACTTTTCAGATTGCTGCTACCCAAATATTATTGCACCCGTATTGTATTTTAAGAAATTAAATAATGAAGAATCTGAATGATGTATGTATGTTTCTCGCACTGTGAAAAAATAACGATACCTACAGCCATCAAATTTTTAATAATGTAGTCCTCCACCTGAATATGGGCACCTAGAAGATTGAATCTTGAATTTCAAATTTGTTTTATTATCTACCGTATTTATGCGAATCTAATGCGCCATCGAATCTAATGCGCATCCCCATTTTAAAACTTTAAATAATAAAAAAAATTTTTTGTCGGCGAATGTAATGCGCATCAATGGTATGAGGAATTTATTGAATCTTATTTTATACAACAATGGATTTGTATATAAACTATCAATCAATGGTATGATAATTTTATTTAAATTTAGATACCATATTTTATACAACAATGGATTTATACATAAAGTAACAGAACATAGAATTAACCTATTAGTGGGCTATTGTTATGTGAAACAATCATTGTTAATTACCACTACCGTATATACGGTACATATCGTAAAGTATGAACATGAAATAAATGGTAACATTTCTATCTAGCTAACAGTTTCTACAATCAGTGATTAATAGTAAACGTCTTTATTTACGAGGCATATCAAACCAAATTGGCGTCTCGTCAGCGTTGCCAATTTGCCCCATTGAAAAATTCTTTTCCTTCCGAAGTGTGATGACATACCGCTAAAATGTTAGTCGTTTTCCCTCAAAATCTGCAGGAAGCTTTTAGCATATTGTTGTACGGCGTCTTAGAAATAAGCCCATCCACTTCATAAACCGATCCACCCATAGACGGCTAGCTTTAAAACTCTCGTTTCGGTATTCCAAGAACTTCAGCCTCCTCTTTTGCTTTATTTCTTATAGTGTCGCTAGTCACAGGTTGTCCATTCTTCCTCCTTTCACGTACAAATTCCAAAACTTTTTCTTCAATTTTAGGGTGTCTTCCTTTGCGAGGGCCAGTGAATTTCTTTCTACTAGTTTTAGTTGCAAACAGTGCCAATTTCTGTTGCCGCCACAAGCGAACATTGCTCTCAGCTACGTTGAACTCTCTCCCAGCCTTTCTATTGCCATTTCTTTCAGGATAAAGAATTACATTACGTTTGAAAGTAGCGTCATATGACATTCTTCTCTGCTTGCCCTCCATTTCGTGACTACGTACTCTGTAGTATGCAATAATGTGTCAACGATAAATGTAACGGTAAATGTAGTCGAGAAATACAGTAATCCATTGTTACAATTTAAATTCGGTTGACGTCATCGACGAACTTTGCACTCGAATCTAATGCGCACCCCAATTTTGAGTACTACATTTGGCCAAAAACGATGCGCATTAGATTCGCGTAAATACGGTATTTCATATTTTAATGAAATTTTAATGAATATATGATCAAGAAACTCAACAATTTCAAATCAAGCAGCAGCAACACACTGCATGGCATAAAATATTTTTATGTCCAGTGCATGACACTATCTATCAGAAATTCTAGAGATATGCTGCTTTTAAATAGTGTTAGCCCAAAGGGGCATTAGTCCAAATGCTCTCAAAATGTGTATGTATGTGTAAATGAAAAATTGCCCCTTTGGACATCACATAAAATATGCCCAAAGGCATAATATCAAATATGTCCATTTTTTTTTTTTTTTTTTTTTTTTTTAAATTTATATGGTAAATATGCAAAGAATTTATTTGTCTTTTTGAGTTTAAACTTTAAAACAAGCTTCTAAGACTCATCATATCTAGTTTGTTTACAATCACTGCAAAGCAAACAGGAATTAAGTTTTAATAGCATATGTTGGGATTTTATTAGTATGCAACTTGAAAAAAATACCTTAAAAAAGCCTAAAGAATACTTTTTTTTTTTTTTTTTTTTTTTTTTAAAGAAATCTAAAATTTCTTTTCTAGCATTTTCCATAATTACTAACAGAGGATATGCATGGAAAGTACTGCATAGAGATTCGTTTAAAAAAAATCTTTTTAATCTGATATACAGTGTGTCCACAAAAACACTCCGATTTGAACTAATTGTAAAATGAAAACTTTCTGCAATATATTTGTAAGTAAGGTGTCAGAAAGTTTAGTAACTCAAAGTAGTTTTGTTTCTACCTTACAGGTTGTAATATTTACTAATTTTCTGTTAGAAGAGAGTAAATCAAGATGGCGCTTTCCAAACAGCAATGCAGCTGGTGTGTGATAAAATTCCACATGACAAAAAGTGTTGTGTCTGTTTAACATGCATTTAGGTAGAAATTTAATGTGGAACCACCTTTGAAGCATGTGAATTTTTAAGTGGTATAAGGATTTCATCGAAGAATGCATTTGTAACAAGCAGAAAAGGCACTCTGGGTGACCAACAGTCCTGCTGCAAGTTGTTGATCGTATGAGGGAAACCTTTCTCCGGAGTGCCAAAACGTCAGTGCGCAGAGCATGTAGAGAACTAAAAAGCATGATTAGCAAGGTGACATGAAAATGCTTGAATTTGCATCCATATAAACTGCAATTGGTGCAGAAGTTAAAACCCGAAGACCATCCAAGGCGACAGCAGCTCTGTTCAGGTCTCCAGTTACTTGAAAATTATGATAATCTTTTATCGAAGATTATTTTTAGTGATGAAGCAACCTTCTACCTGCATAATAAGGTAAACAGATACAATGTGTGGATATGGGAGATCACAGAATACCCACACCACGATGGAGATACAACATGATTCTTCTAAGTGTAATGTGTTTTATGCCATACCCAGAACAGAGAATTTGTGGTCCTTTTTCTTTAAAGGTGAAACTGTGTCTGGTGACTACTCAGATATCTTACGGAACAGGTTGATGCCTCAACTTACTGAGGTAGGTGACTACCTTCTTCAACAAGATGGAGCACCACTGCCCTGGCATCGTAATGTCCATAAGTTTCTCAATGAGATCCTGCCAAACATGTGGTTGTTCTGGAATCAATGACCAAGTGTTTCTTCACTGGCCGTCTAGGTCACCAGACCTTACTGTTTGTGATTTTTTCTTGTAGGGGTATATCAAACACATAGTGTACGTACCTCCCCTACCTACATTCATGGAAATTCAGCAGTACAGAATCACAGAAGCTGTAAATACAATCATGCCGAATATGCTTTCCAGAGATTGGAATGAGCTTGATTAACGCTTAGATCTTTCTCCTGTGACAGGTGGAGCACACGTTGAGTGCCTGTAATGAACATATATTACATGAAACTTTATGAGTTGTTACACATTTACCCCAAAAGATGAACACAATATTCCCCAAAGTTATAATTAAATAAAATCGAGCAGTGTTTTTGTGGACACACTGTCTGAAAACTATGTATTTATTTTTGAATTAATTTAGATCATAAAAGTCATTTAAAAAGAATTTTGCTGTGGATATACAGTTTTGTTTATGTCAAATGTTTTGACACAATAAAAAATTTCTTTCTCTAAGTTTTGCCCTGGGCACTCATACTATTTTTGTTCTGGGTTTGAATTCACTGTAGCTCTGTATGCTATTGAAATGACTGTGCGCTTTCGGAAATTTTAAGGGAAGAAAATATTTTAAACTAGACTACTTCCAAAGATAAGCCTCCTATTACAATACAGTTAACTGACAATGAAATTACTTCAAGTATATTAAACTCAGTTGATGAAAACTCATGTTTTAAGTCTAACAATGATGAAGCAAAAAATTACTTTCGATGAGAATTCAACATTACGCGAACCATATCTAAACTTTCTAGAGAGAAAAAAATTGCATCACACCAGGAAATAATAGCAGTATGTAGACTTTAAGAGAAAATAATTAAAGAGAAACCTAAAGTGTTAAATGAAACAACACTACAAATAATGCTTCAAAAATATACAAATAATCATAACATTAATGTGTGTTTGTGTATAAGATAAAAAATATGTTAATCAAAATTATAATTTATACTAGTGATAACCCATCAGTTAACCCTTTCTATTCTAGAAATAGCAATGCCTTTTTCTGCTTTTTCTGGACTGCGTCATTTTTGCATCAATCCATCTCATATGACTTGCATAACGCCAAGTTCTGCCAAGCAACCTAGGGCCATCAGGGACAGATTTTTTAATGTATTCCCTAGGAACCTCGAAAGGTTTGTTTGCTTGACTAGGGTTTCTATTAATACCAGCACTTCATGAGCCTAATCCGGCTACATCTTAATTATTTTTTATTCCCGCTAGACCTAATCCAGCATAGTTCTCGGCTTTTTCTCCCATGCTGCACATACAAATTATTCCATCTTTACCTAGATCTCTTCTCAATCAACGAATCTAAGAATTTTACTTTAAATTACTCACCAGTGCAACTTAATTTTTATTCTACTTGCCACGCTAGAGAATCTAATTTAATTCTTTTAAATTCAATACATTTTATTCCTATGTTTCTAAATTGCAAGCTTATTAGCAGAATTTAAATTTGTAAATTTTCATTTTTTCCATAGCTTTTCATTCAATTTTCAGCTTAAAATTTATACACTCTCAACATTAATTTTTAGTTTTGATTCTAAGTACATCTTTAACTTACTCTCAATCTTATTCAGTTTAATTCATACAAAATCTGCAGAATAACAAACTAACAGCCTCTCACAATCTTTCCTTCATATTCTCCATATCTTAGGTCACTGACCTTTCTCCTCATTGCACACCACCAAGGCTCTTAGCAAACGCTTTGTTACGAACCTCTTACCTTTCCCGAAGACTGGTTCCTAGCAAGTCGCTCTTCATACCTTCAGCTTTATTGCATCCATTCATGGTGGTCGTATGCAGGTTGTTGACTTGAATTATCACTTCGACTTCTGCAAGTGTGCCACAGTGGAAGGGGGCTTAACACACCTTTCATTGAGGTAAACCACACACAGTCTTCCATCTTGTCCTCAGGAGACCTCTTATAAAGCTCTTTTCTCAGCCCCTAACGGCTTCTTTCACTTTTTTTAGCCAATACCTTCTCTTAGTTATTTCATATAGTATTAATGAAGGTTTGGAGGTAATTGCATTTAATTACAAAGGTACTCCATAATGAAAATGCCTTGGTTTGAAACCTTCTCTTAATAGGCTGCCATATTGGATAACTATGCACTTGAGCTTCTACCTCTTGTCCTGATAAGATGCTATTTTCACTCTGCTCTTTTCCAATTGCAACAGTATTAAAAATGTAAATGTTCTTGAATAGGCATGATTATAGTGCCAAGTAAATTATGGCTGCAAATGTCAAATGAAATAAAGATGAATATTTAATCTGCCTCAACTGCCAAGTTTACTGCTCATTACAGATTCAACATTCTACGTCATCAACATTGCAAAGACTTTTTTTCATCTAAATGAGACAATAGGATGGCTTTTTGTGTTTCGAAACTGTAGCATAAAAATTTATTCGGCCAATTTTCTGATTCGCAAGATAATCTACATGCCTTTATCATTCTACGTGTGACAGTGAATTATGCAGAAAATCCTGTTTCACCAAAAATTTTAATGCAAGTCTCTGCTGTACCTATTAATTTTATCTTCTGCATTCATAATCAAACCCTTGTTTGTGTTCTGCACAGTATCCAGTGTGGCAGACTATTAAGAGAAGGTTTTGGTTTACAATGCTTATTAAGAGAAAATTTCAGTTCTCGTTCCTAGCTAATGCTAGGCCATCAGCGTTATGCAAGTCATATGAGATGGAGTGATTCAGAAATGACACAGTCCAAAAAAGGTAATACTATTTTTAGAATAGAAAGGGGGAATAAATGCATTATCACAAGTACAAATTATAATTTTGATTTACGAGGGTTGGAACTTTAATAGTGGCAACTATTTATTTACAAGGAATACAAAAGTGATTCATGTCACCATGTTTTACAGTCCTTCAATATAGAAGCCAGCATCGTGTACAACCCGTTTCCAACAATGTGGAAGTTGCAGAATACCTGTAGCAGTGCCTGTTTTGTTGATAGTTTGAATGGACCGGTCTACTGCCGCAAGAATTTCAGGAACAATTTGGAAGCGAGTGCCACGAAGTGGTTCCTTCATCTTAGGAATTAAGTCATAGTCACAAGGGCTTAGGAGTATGGTGGATGGTAAAGCACTTCCCAGCCCCATCACTTGAACAAATCAGTCACAGCTTGCGCTGCATGCGGCCGAGCATTGTCATGCAAAATGAGAGGAGAGTTATGCAGAAAGTGTCGTGTTTTTTTCTCAAAGCTGGTCGGAGATTGTGCTCCAAAAATTAGCAGTAATACTGCGCAGTCACGGTCTGCTGTGGGGGAACAGTATGCGTTAGGATGACACCATTACAGTCGTACACGAGAATCACCATAACTTTCACATTGCTGGGGTTTTGACAAAATTTCGAACGTTGTGGTGACCCGTGATGACGCCATTCGTTTGATTGGCGTTTCAGTTCTGGCTGGTACGATCGGGCCCAAGTCTCATCCAGTGTAATGATACGGCGTAAAAAAGCATCTCCTTTGCGCTCAGGTGGGTTCGGGCAGCATCGTATCGTAGCCATTTCTGTCAATTGATGTGGAACCCATCATGAAGCAATTTTTCTCATGGACAAACGTTCCTTCAGAATATGCAGCACAGTTGTATGCGCTAATCCTGTTTGTCCGGCCAGCTGACGAATCATTTGGCGGCGATTACTGTCCATTAGTGCGGCAACAGATTGCACATCTGCATCGCTGACACTCGGACAACCTGGCCGCAGCATGTCTGCCACGTTTTGGCGTCCTTCATTGAATGCTTTCACCCATCTTGTTGTGGTTCTGTAAGGCAATGCAGATTCCCCGCAAGCCTTTTGAAGCCCTTGATGACACTGTCGTGCTGTACGACCTATGGCACATTCAATTTTTATCCAACATCGTTGTTCTTGTTTTGAAAACATCCTGACAACACTTACTTTAGACAGCGAGCTAATACAAGGATCCGTTCTTCGCTTTACTCCGCATGCGCGTGACGTAGGCAGGACGAGTCTTTTTGCTGAGAGGTAAGGTAAGTATATAGTTCACGTGTGGTATACGCATATTCTTTGGTTTTGTTGTGTAGCGTTTTTTCAGCTGTGTTGCCACTATTAAAGTTCCAAACCTCGTACTTATTTTTTATCTTACATATATATATAGTTATATTTAAAAAAATAAATGTTATTTTACTAAAGACTTTTTAATAACATGCATTTGTTTTAGTTATTTATGTGTAAATAATCCAAATGTTAGAGCAAAAATTAGAAAGGGAAAAATATAAACAGAATTCAGGGGAAGTGGAAAAAAAAAAAAAAAAAAAGACTTCAAATCTGCAAAATTCATTAATCTACACAAGCTTTGGTACCAAAGGGGTATGAATGAAATGAATTCTACCGTATAAAAAATGTATTAATATTGACTTAGGCATAGGTTTTAAAGCAAGACTTAACACTGAACAATATTACATTAAAAACTCAATGTAATAGGTCTTCTTATCTTTAATTTTTAATATAGTTATTTTAAGACTAATAATAAATTTTGTTTCTAACCTGTCCAACAACTCCTCTTCCACGAACAGTTTCCAGTTGACCAGAAAGGGAAAATATTCTCCAGTGTCTCTCCCGAAGTTGAACTGTTGATTCTCCTAAGTTTTCTAATCGTATGCAATATCTCCACTGCATAAAAGTAACACATATTTTTAAACAAGATCTTACACAATATATAATCTGCGAATACCAAACTATGCAAATTATTATTTCATAAAGTATAACATATTTTTATTTTTAGTCTAATGAAATTATTTCAATAAAAGATATTCACATTTCATTGAGATATCTTTTTAATCAATTCATCCAAAATATTAATGTTATTTACAAAAGCCTTCATACAAAACATTTTAACAAACTGCAAGGGAAGTCAAGTCAAAAATGACACACTTTTCAAATCTTTTGCTATTGCTTTGGTACACAAAGGGCTATTTCACAAATGGTAATAAGAGTCACCTGATAGCCCATATGCATCAATCAGCATAGTGAAAATAATTCAGTAGTATTATCTCAGAGAATGATAACAAATTAATTGGATCTAATTTTTCAAGGATAAGACCTAAACATGAGTTTAATTTTACATGTGGATATTAAGAGCACTTTAAGATATATCTATACAGCTGTCTAATTTTTAGTTAAGTTTTTGACTTTATTTTTAGGTTGATTTATCCAATATTTTTGAGGGGGAGGAAGGGATATGTATCAAGTTTCTTGAAGAATACAGGTATGATATTAAGTAGACAATATACTGACAATACAATTTATACCTACTATTGAGAACCCCCAAAACATCTGACAATACCTAACCATAAATGCATGTACTGATGGTCATGGTAATTAAAAATACCTGTTGATTTTCTTTAAAATTCCATTCATATTCAAGATGTGTACAAAATTTTCCAATTTCCTGCAAAGTTTTAACAGTACACAGAATTAAAGAGCATACAGAAAAATTAAATTGTTATGCAAACACCCAAAAGACAGTTGACTGACTAGCATAGTCTGTTGCCTACTCTTCTCCTAAACAATGTGATTGATATATAAAATCCCCCCTCCTTGCTTTCCAATCTATCATTTTACTGTCATTCAATCTAATTTGTCCTACATGTTTCAATCCATATTGGTTAGAACACAGCACTCTTTTAATAATTCATTGCATGCCTATACCTTTTATAGTAATTTTTGTTTTCCTATCTCATTAACAGTAATTTGTTGTTTTCTTGTGTGGTCAAAAACATAAAAAAGATATAAGAGAGTGTAGATAAGAATATGATAAAGGAGATAAAAGAGTCTTAAGGAGAAAGATATTAACTGCAGGTTGCATAAAAACATAAAACAAGGATATAAAGCTAAATCTATAGTTAGATATTGATATCCACATGATCTTAAAACAACAACAAAAATGAGTTTAAAGTTGAATCTCACTGGCAGAAAGACATCTTTTAACTGAATGCCAGTACCTTCTTAAGAAGGGGAAGGAACCCCAGTGAAGGAAGAAGTTGAAGATCTTGGCACTTCCCTTGAATCATACTCTAAATTATGCACATAAGTTAATATCAGGTTGTTGTAATCTAGCAAATTTTTTTCCTCCTGAAGAAGAGAGTTCTATAACTGTTTGCTCTTGAGCTGAATACCCCCCTCCTCTTCCCAATCTATGAAAAACCTATGATTGTTTTTTGCCCATTTCAACACTGGCATGTTTCTCTTCCAATCATATAATAATAATTGCTTTTGCAGTAATAATATAAAGTGTTTTCCCATGTTCCACATAAAAAAAAAAAAAAAAAAAAAAAAAAAAACACTATAATTTAAAGTATTATTCACTTCTTATATTTTAGAAAATTATACATAAATATTTTATTATTTTATTTCTTTTTTATTCACTTTCTTAACTATATAAATTAATTTATAATTCCATTAATATGAATTTTATTCACATTACTTCTGAATTCTTTTGGTTCAAAATTTTTCTTTTGAGTAAATCAAATCATTAAACTTGATTACTAACAATCAACTTCTCTAACACATTCACATTCGTAGAAGACAAAAATTATCTGGAAACATGGCTGTCAGAAAGAATCTCTTAGAAAAGGTTTACTGGACATCTCAGAAATGGTTCGCTATAAATGCATTTAATACTCTAAATAAAGAATACGTAGTTTAAAATTAAGACTTTAATGTCAATTACACTATAACTTTAATATTCTTGAGAACAGTCTATAAATATTTAATCAAACATTAGGATATTGTTCTAGGTATGAAAATACATATTGATATTTTAATTGAAAAAAAAACAATTAAAATATTGGTATTTTAATTGTTGCAAATAACAAAGGCTTCAACCAGACAATCGAATAAAAATGTTACCACATCAAAAGTATTTTAAAAGATGAAGAGAAATTTTGAACTTACCCAATATATGCCATTATTCTGAGCAACCTAAAAAGAAGAAAAAAGGTTCAGATAGCAGCAGATCTTTCCTTCTCATTTAGTATTCACAAAGTATTAAGTTTATCGTAGAAAATCCTCAATGAAACCTATAGCATTAATTTAGAACTAATTAAAAATTGGTATTAAAGGCTTCTGGCAACTACTAGACACAAATTTCTTCATTATTATTTAAATTAGAGATATTCTTCCTCTCCAACGGTGATTCCCAAACAGTAACAGTATTAAAACTGAAGTTTTAATTTTAGAAAATCCTCAATGAAACTTAACAGCACTAATTTAGAATTAATTAAAAAATTACGTTAAAGGCTTCTGTAAACTACTAAACACAAATTTCTTCACTATTATTTTAATTACAGAAAATCTTCCTCTATAGCAATTATTCATTGCAGGAAGGTGTGACATTTTTTTTGGGGGGGGGAACATTATCATGGCTTTAAAGGAAATTATTTTATTGAACTAATTTTCTCAAGCATAACACACAGACACTGATCAATGTATTTGTTTTGAGAATAAATTTATTACTCTTTATCTGCAGATGACAGTACAGCCATTTCTCAGTTAAATCTAGTCAACAATCAAATTACAAGTAAAAAGTTAATGTGGCAAATTAAAAATATGAAAATTACAACATTCTCAATTTTTTTATAATATATCAAGATAATTAATGGGTATGTGATAAATGATTTCTTGAAGGACAGAAAAATTAAAGTATTTTAGAATAAATGTTCATTCAAGAGCAAGATAATCCTTTTCCACAGGGTTCTGTTTTGAGCCCCCTGTTCTTTGTTATATGTAAACAACATTTACCCTAACTTCGGAAAAGACATTAAAGTGGCCTGCCACATAGATGACATCATGATCTGGCACTCCAACAGGGATACTCATGAATCTGAAAGAGTGCTCCAGAAATCCTTAAATGGGATCATAAAGTGGACGCAGAGCTTAAAACTCAAGCTCAATGCTGAAAAGACTATCTGCGTCTTTTCAACAGACAAGGAACTATCGAGATCTAATAAATTCAAAATTATGCATTGAAGGCATAGTGAAGATATCACATCCCAAATACTTGGGAATCACCTCAGATGCAGAACTGAGACTCACTAAGCATGTAAAAATCTGTGCTGACAGAGCTTTGAAAAGACTAAGAATCATTAAAAGTCTTTGCGGAACAAAGTGAGGAGCTTTTCCAGAGACACTTAGAATACCATATCCTCACTAATTAAGCCAATCATGGAGAACACTTCTCCTATTTGGGCTCATGCTTCCAGAACTGTCTTGGGAAAATTAGAAAGTGTCCAGCCAAAGGCCACAAAAGTCATTACTGGTGCAGTGTCTTCCACCAATAATTTAAAAGTAATTCAGGAATGTGGCATTGAAAGCCTCAGAAAAAGGAGACAATATAATGCAATAAAATTTGCAAACAAGGCAAGAAGTTGTGTACCAGAATAGCAAGGGAAATAAAATTATAATGGCAGCACTAAACTGAAAAGATCATCTTCTATGCAGTTTGACAAAGATATTAGAGCAGTTTTTGGCCCTATATCAAAATTAATTTTCCATCTTCCATCCAAAATTTCTTTCCAGGCTTTCTATAAACTCTAAAGTAGTAATCGACCCAGCTCTGCAATATATATAAAACTGACTGATATTATTAAAGCGAAATGAATCAGGACTATTGAATAGTATCCAAAAGAAGACTTTGTACACACTTATACAGATAGTTCATCAGATGAGACGATCAGTAATGGAGATTCTGAAGTATTTTTTACTACCTCAGGTGATACTACTTATCAATACAAAACTGGCACTGGGGCCATAGTCTCTTAATTTCACTTGTGAGCTTCTGGCAATAGAGGAGGCCCTTGACATGTATAGATCCCTTCCCATTTCAGCACAAGAAAAAGGAATTGTTGTCCTCTGCGATTCAAAGGTAACTTTACAAGCAATCTTGGATGGAAGCTCCCAGATCATCAATGGAATCCATTTTCGGCTAAACAAGCTTCAAGTTAAATAAGGTCTGCATTCTTCACAATTCAGTTAAATAAGGTCTGCATTCTGCATTCCAGCGCACATCAACATCACAGGTACGAGAGCATAGATAAACTAGCAAAAGAGGCACAAAATCTCAACAATAACAATGATGTAAATATCACCCTTTCGAATGCAAATGTCATGGCCAAATGATTGAAAGAACTTCAAATTCCAATAAAGCACCAGCTGGAAATCGGCTTACAATTAAAACCATTGTTAGAATTGGCTATCACAGAGGATTGAAAATTGAGAAAGAAGGTATGAAAACTTACAGAAACTATGATAACTGCCTGGACACAGAACTGACAATTGCATATTTTTGATTGTTTGGGCATTCTTGGTAAATTGCTGAAATTGGAGTCTTGTTTAAGAAAGCAAACCTCTATGTTGATAACATTTTGCAGATTGCCAGGGCTGTCATCTTCTTTTATGGCACTATTTGAATAGGATTTATCACAGACACAACAACAATTACGGGTATATAAACAATTACGGGTATTTTTATTCGTGGTATTCTGTGAAAAAAGTCTGAAAGGCCTTTGAAACTGGACTGCATACCTGAGTACTTCAGCAGGACTCTACAAGTGTTTATTTAATACATATATAAAATATTAAAATAAAATGCAAATTTATTAACAAATTAAACTTACACTGAAGAGCCAAAATATTACGACCACTTACTCAATAATGGGTTGCATGACCTTCAGCCTGCAAAACAGCTGTCATTTGCCTGGCAAGGATGCCACAAATTCTTGGTAGATGACTGGAGACAGGTTGTACCAAATGTTTAAGCAGCGGTCATGCAAAGTCAAAGTATATATGCGCCGATGTTTGAGCTCTGAGCTGCCGATCCATGATATCCCAAATGCGCTCTATCAGGTTAAGATCTGGCATGTTAGGTGGCCAAGATATTACCTAGAATTCATCATTATGCTCCTCGAACCACTCCAACGTAATTCGAGCCTCATGAGACGGGGCATTGTCCTGCTGAAAGATTAGACTTCCAGTTGGGAAGACAGATGCCACGTAAGGTGCGACTGATCAGCAATTATGTTCAGATAGTTTGCAGGTTTCATGGCCTGTTCTACAACAACTAAAGGTCCCAGAGCTGCCCATGAGAGCATCCCCCAAAGCATAATACCGCCATCACTAGGCCATGCATGATCTGATGTACAAAAGGGAAGAAACTGTTTGCCTGGAAGATGGCATACCCTGACACGACCATCAACGTGATGAATGAGAATTCGTGATACATCAGACCAGGCAAACTGTCTTCCACTTATCCACTGACCAGTCTCGATATTCCAAAGTCCACTGTTGGCATAGCTGACAATGATGCTTGGTCAACAGAAGGACACAAGTAGGATATCTGCTGTGCAGTCCCATATCCAACAGTGTCTGCTGACCTGTGTGTTCCAAAAAACTTGCAACCTGCATTATATTGGGTTGTCAGCTGAGACACCTCAGGTGCCAATTTTATAGAACCAAGCAGATGTCCTTTCATTTTGATGATGTGTGGATGCCCAACACCTTGTTGTCTACTGCTGGTTTCACTGTCATTGATCCACTTTGCATAAATTCTAATAATGGCAGATCATGAACAACATACTAGTCATCCAGTTTTGGAGATACTTGTTTCGAATCTTACCTTATATTAAATTAATTATTGAATTACCTTATATTAAATTAATACTTGAATTACCTTAGATTAGTAGCCTTTTCCATTACTCGCAGGAGTTAAGTACAAGAATGATTCTTTACCTTCTCCAGCAGCAGTTAAATATCATTCCCACATAATCATGTGCCCTCCACGTCATCTAGATGAGTTTATTGAAAAATGTACGAATGGTCAGAATGTTTTGGCTCGTTAGTGTAACTGGAACAAAGTGACAATAGACGTCTAAATTTCTAATTTTCAGTTAAAGTACATCCACTCTTCAAGGATGCATACTGCACCATTTTACATCACACTTTCGCTGCAGTATCTGTATTGATGCAGACTTTTGCCTAATCACTGCTTAAAACAAAGACTTTCCACACTTATAAATTGAATACCCATGACGCAACTAATTACGCATAACTTTTTTGCCGCTTGCTCTACCTAGTAAAGTCAATGCCTCTTTGTAAAGCTTCTTTTTCTACTACCTAAAAATGTAAGCTGTATATACAGAAATTATGGGGCACATTTAGCCTAGTGTTGTACCAATTAAGAAAATGTATTTCTGAAGAACTTCTGTTGTTCAAAACAAAAATGATGTTATCCATCAAATCAGTTCTGAGTTTTCCTCCAGTCTAATGCAGCAGTTTTTTTTAGCCATAGCTAAACAGTGACTGTTTTCATTTTCTCTAGCCAACTTTTTACTAAGTTCTACTGACATACCAGGAAAAAAATGTTAAACACACACTCTGGCTGTGTGTGTGTCTCTCTCCGTGTGTTATACATTATAGTTATAAATTTTGAACACACTCTCTCTTTCTATATATATATAACAGAGAGAGAGAGAGTGAACATTCTCTCTACATATATTTGACAGTGTTCAAAATTTATGTTCTACAACATTAACAAATAATTATTTAGTTCAAAATTTCATGATTAATATTTTCTATAATGCTATATTTCTTTTTATAAAATAACTGCAAGAAGGACAATAATTTTTTACAGCTGTAATGCTTTCCTTAAAAAAAAAAAAAAAAAAAAAAAAAAAAGCAAGCAAGCTTTTTCTCTTAGTAAAGCTTTTTTTCCTGGAAGGGGGAAAGGTCTGTAAAATAAGAAAATAGATAAAATACTAGCTTTTGTCTGCAATACCTCCTTAACATTCCCTTTAAATTGGTTATTTTATCTTAAGGCCTAAAAACTAGTAATTACTTATGGAAACCAAAACTTAAAACCAATCAAACTGAAGCTTAACCAAAAGTAAATCATTCTAAAATGGGTTTCATTTTAGATATATATTTTC